TGTTGAGTGTTATTTTGTGGGTTTGTAGAGTAACATCTTTAACAGGTCACACAAACTTTTCTACTCAAACATGACTGCTAAATAAGCTCCTCTATGTGTCATGAGTGAATGTGGGTGTAATTCCGGTGAGTCTCTGCCTGATCTGAGAGTTATGCCACTGTTTTAAATGGCTCCAGCTGTTGGCAGTGAAAAAAGCAATCTCATGGTGGGGTCAAAGGGACATCCTGTCCGGCTTATACCATATATACGTATATATACGCATTCGCCCTGGGGAAAAAAAAAAAGAACAAATGTGTTTAAGTCAGTGCAGCTGACAATGGAAACATAATTTCGCACAGGTAATGTTACTGCTGCGTCAGCACGTACATGCACACTCACACTGGCTTTCTTTGTTCATCTGGGCATTGTAATGCATTTAGATGTTGCAAGGTTATTCTTTTAGCCTTTCCGGAAACATTACAGCAGTTCTTCATTGATTCTCATATTGGATTAAATGGCTCCATGGTGTTGATGTAGTTGTGTATTTTTGATGAGTTTGTATTGACTGGTGTATGTTTTAGATCAGGTCTAAGTGTTTCAATGCCAAGAGAAAGAGTTCAGTTGGGGTTTTAGAGCGAATGTTTGACCTATGTATTTTTATGTGTCAGTGGCGGCGCTGCTGAATCTGCACCGCCATGGCAAATGTGAAAAATTATATTTCTGTTGAGAGTTTGCAGTCTGAAATGTGATGAGATACAAAGACCTGGGTGCTGCGAAATAATGTTAAGCATTGCTGGACTCAAAAACAACTATATAATGTGACTAGTATAGTCTGACTCACAAACAAATGACTCTTACAGACCAGTTGTTTTAAGAAATTGGACTAAAAGGCTCTCACGTTATAGCTGATTTGTATCAGTCAAATGAATCCTTCACTAAAATGACTGTCAAAGCAAACACTGAATTAACAACATGCTTTGAACCGCAAGTCTTGTTCTTTCAGTCGAAATGAAGGAAATGATACATGTACGAAAAGTTTCATTCATTAAAAAAGTGACATGTACTGATTGTTACTTTGACATTTTTGTTAAAGATTTATCTATCTATCCATCTACACACCCACACACACACCCACATATATATATATATATATACACACCCACATATATACATATTATACAACAGTTCTTTCTGGTCCTCGAATCTGATTAGCTGAGAGGAGTGTGATATTCTAGTGATAACAACTCCACCATTTTACCGTTTGTATCACTCCGCTTGCGGTATTTCTCCCAACGAGTGTCATGGCGGAGGCCAAATCCACTATAATTTTATAAATAATACTGTTTTGTGTCACGTAAGGTAGTTTTAAGAGTTTTTAGGCACGAATGTACTTGTTTAGACTTCAAATATGCAGTTTGTTAATAAAAAATAACGTCTATTCAAAAATTTGCTTCCACGTTTTCGGAGATCTGAGCTCCAGGGCGTCAGCGCTCATGAACCCACTGAGAGCAGCCTCAACCCCGCTAGATCTTCTGGAATTTTTCAGTAGCCCCTCACTGCAGAACAAAGATCCAGGGGGCGGGGTTGGATCCACATCTTATGGGGTGGAGATGGGTGGGTTTAGGGATCAGGGGGTGGAGACGGGTAGGTTTTGGTATATGTAAGGTGGGAGGAGTTGGATCTGGATCCAACCTCACCCCCTGGATCTTGTGTTCTGCAGTGAGGACCATCTCGAATTTGCCGCTGGCTCTGATGTCTTTATAGGGCAGGGATCCTCAAATCTGGCCCACGAGATCCATTTTCCTGCAGAGTTTAGCTCTAACCCTAATCAAACACACCTGTGCATACTAATCAGTGTCTTCAGGATCATTAGAAAATCACAGGTAGGTGAGTTTGATCAGGGTTGGAGCTAAACTCTGCAGCACATTGGCCCTCCAGGGCAAGATTTGAGGAACCCTGCTGTAGGGGTTAAACATGAGATATAATTTGTTTTGGGTCAATCTAACGGGCAGTCTTTGGTCTCATTAATTTAATATTTGTTCCAGAGGAAGTAGCTTTGGCTGAGGGTAAAATCTCATATTATATTTTATGTAACTTTAATGCTGTATGTCAGAGCGCTGATTTTGTCCTTTTGACTGAATTGCCTAGCAACTTTTATGATGGCTGTTGTTGTTGTTTTAGTCAATATTATTATTCAATAAATAATATTTTATATAAATAATAGTAGTATTTAATTATAGTATTTAGTATTGAGAAATGGTGTGTGTTCGTGATGGTGATTTTTAGAGATGCACCGATCGTTTGGCGAGGGATCGGAATCGGCCGATTTTCCTCATGATTGGCCCGGATCGGTGAGCGGTCGGTCAGTCTCACTTATTTCCGATTTCGAGCCAATCCGTTTTGTTACCAGCGGCACAGGCAATAACATCAGCCACGCATTCTCACTCTCATCTCTCCGACAACGCCTTCTCTCTCACACACGTCTCATTCGCTCCGGTTAAATAGTGCTTGTATTGCGCATTATAGTCATTCCCGCAGGTTTCACCCTTATACCAAACGCGCGCGCACCACCACTGATCTATATTAGTGGAGCACACAATCCGCGCTCAGTCTCAAACAGCTTGTGAGCCACAAATACCAAAATGAGTGGCTAACTGCTAAAACGTTCAAATACATACAAAATTGTCAAAATGCCCGTCTTAGCGAGTATCCAGTTTTGGAACTTTAAATAGTTGAGAAGGAGAACGCATGTTGTGTAACAGTATATTGGGTCCGTGGATAAACTCTTAAAGGGACCACAGTCCAATATTCCTGCTGCTGTCTGTCATGTTAATCAAAGAACAAAAGACAAAGAAAATCATTTTCTGCTCTTGACTGAATACGTTTTATAACTTTAATAGTAAGCATTAATCTGTATTTAATTTTTACAATGAAGACTACAGAAATTAAAATAATCAAATGTAAAATAACACTGGATGTGTTATTTTACATTTGATTACTTTAATTTCTGTAGTATTTCTTAACTGAATAAAAACTTACTTAACCTAAAAAAACTTGTTTTCATAGCTTTATTCTATTGCATTTATTTGTGCTGTTGTTTGCAATTTTTTTATTTGTTCTTATTTTATTACTGACTTTTTTATTGTGTTTTTTTTATGAAAAATAAAACTTTGCGTTGAAGAAAAGTAGATTTTTGTTTGTATATACTGTCAATTTTAGTTCTAAGAAAGAAAATCGGCAAAAATCGGTATCAGCAGATCACACTAACGAAAAATCGGAAATCGGAGTCGGCCAAGAAAATTGCAATCGGTGCATCTCTAGTGATTTTAATTACATTATTACAAGAGACTGTTTTTGTGAGTGAGTCAGCAGTAAAGATTTTGAAAGAGACTGAAACAGGGTTGTAAACAAGTAAGTTATTTTTACTTTCAACAACAGCTTGTAAGATGCAGCCAACGAATGCAGTGAGCAGTGCCATCATCGGAAATCACCCTTAACAGATGAAAAGATAATACAACAAAGATATCGCTTTCATCAGCAGACATTCAAACTAATGTTTTATTGTGAATATGAGATCGAGCTGAAGAGTGAATGCTGTATCAGATGCAGGTAATCACACTCGCTCAATCCATCTCTCTCTCATAATACTCTACATAATACAGTGAGCTTTTAATACAGTAATACAAAAAGCTTTCAATGAAGCAGCTCAACGTTCCTTCGTTACTAGCTCTAAAGTGACATTTTCGAATTAGTAACAGTTTGGGCTCAGCTGTTAAACTATAAAACTGAGATTTGTATCTGTGGTGTAAAATAGTAGTTTGCACAAAAGAGGGTTTTTAAAGACACACTGTTGTTATTTCTTATGATGTTCTTTCTTATGTAACTGTTGTATAAACGCAATATCACACTTGTAGCACTGCGATATGGCTGTATATCGGCACGCTGTGATTAACTACAGCACTCGTGGCCTCATGCCTATGGCAGAATCACAGCCATGCCGATATACAGCCATAACGCACTGCTACTCATGATATTGCTCATATATATATATATATATATATATATATA